GAGGCAGAAGGCACCACAAAAACAGTAGAAATAAGCAGCGGCGTTCCACAAGGGTCAGTTTTAGGCCCAACTCTATGGAATATCATGTATGATGATCTGCTAGATATGGAACAACCTTTAGGTGTTACCCTGATTGGCTTTGCGGATGATGTAATTATGGTAGTGACTGCAAAAACTGAAGACTGTTTGATGAACAGTGCGAATGCGGCCCTTCAACGCGTGACAAATTGGATGCAGAGAAATAAACTCGCATTAGCTCCGCAAAAAACTGAAGCAGTGCTCCTCACCACTAAGAGGAAAATAGCTCCAATTCATTTCAACGTCCAAGGAAACATTGTTGAGCCGAGCAAGGCAATTAAATATCTGGGAGTCTGGCTAGATACAAAGATGACTTTTGCCGAACACGTCAATAAAACGATCGAGAAAGCTGAAAAGACTGTAACGGCATTGAGTTGTCTAATGCCGAATGTCGGAGGACCCAGAGCGTCGAAAAGAAAGATTCTTGCAAGCGTCGTACACTCGCAGTTACTGTATGCGGCCCCAGTGTGGTACACAGTAACAAACAATAAAAAGCTGACACAGAGGCTAAACAGGGTTCAGAGGCAAATGTGCATAAGAGTCTGTAGTGCATATAGAACAATCTCAGCTGATGCAGCTGGGGTTATTTCTGGCATTCCACCCATAGAATTGCAAATACAAGAGAGACACGAGAAATATAATGGAGTATCAAAGAGTAACGCTAGAGAAACCCTGATGCTGCGATGGCAAGAAAAGTGGAATTAGGGAACATACGGACGCTGGACGAATTATCTAATACCAAACATCCAAGAATGGCTAGACAGACCATATGGAGAGGTCGACTATTTCCTCACCCAGGCGCTGTCTGGACATGGATGCTTTAAGAAATATCTCTACGAACGACATAGAGCTGAATCGAGTGAGTGCACATATTGTTCTGAAGAAGACGATGCAAATCACACACTGTACCACTGCCCCCGATGGAACGAAATGAGACTTGAATATGAACAAAATTTGAACAGGCCATTTGATGCAACAAATATGATGGAAACCTTGACGGAATCAGAAGATACCTGGAACTACACGAACAAAGTGATCAGACTTATTATAGAGACGAAAGAAAGAGAAGGGCGTAACTAACCAGCCAACTTATTACACTGAAGAAATGCGAAAGCGGTTACCGGTGTAATGAGTGCGGAGAATGTGGGAGGGGTTTTAGTCGGTAGGAATCCGGCACAACGTCTCATGCAAGATTTCCCCTCCCACAAAAAAAAAAAAAAAAAAAAAAAAAAGATAGATAGATAGATAGATAGATAGATAGATAGATAGATAGATGATAGATAGATAGATAGATTTTTATTTCCCAAAAGATACAGATTTGTAATATATCTGCGCCTATACAGACACATAATATTAAGAAGTATAACAGTGAAATTATATCTCGGGTGTATCTTTATCGCATAGAGCTTAGGGAAAATGGCTAGACAAGTCGCATGCAATATAAGTTATCTATGTGAAGAAAAGATGACTGAAAAAGCTAGATATCACAAAACCAATGTTACAGACATGATTATAGTATATGCATGGCAATATTAGAAAATGGAATTGAAAAATTCATCCAGGTTATAGAAACTATGTTGGTGTAATAATTTTTTCAACTCGACCTTGAATTTATTCATAGATAGTGCTTTCAATACTTCCGGTAGGTGATAATAAATATTAATCCCTGTATACAGGGGTCCCTTACGAGTTCTATTGAGTCGATAATTTGGAAGGATTATAGACTGGTTCCTGGTTGGGTATGAATGAATATCTGCTGGGCGCAACATGGAACCACTATTTTTGTGGATCAGAAGCGAGACTTTGTATAATTATATATAAGGTGGTTAAAGTAAATATTTCATAGTTTACGAAATAATTCCTACATGAATCTCTGTACCTCAGATTGAATACTGTTCGAATCGCACGTTTCTGTATGATGAAGGTAGATGTTGATTCAACAGAAGTACCTACCCCAAAACTCAATACCAAACTGCAGAAGGCTGTGGAAATAGGCATAATAAACTGTTTTTGCGACGTCACTATAAGTATTCATTCTAATTGTTCGAATGGCGAATATAGCTTTGCTCAATCTCGTGTTCAATTGCTTTATATGTTCAGACCAATCAAGATTTTTATCAATGGTGAGTCCTAAAAATTTCGTGGATTGTGATGTATTTATTGTTTCATTGTCTACAATCAATTGAATATCATCATTAATGTTTCTATATGGATTGAAAAAAATACATTGCGTTTTACTTATATTGAGAGAGAGCTTATTTGCTAAAAACCAATCTAGGATACCATACACCGTCCTTTGAGAGAGACAAAGTAGAGGTTGTATATGTTGGCGTCATTAACAAGTATGCTAGTATCATCGGCAAACAGGGTAAAGGTCACATCAGGAAAGTTGCACACAATATCATTGACATATATGATGAATAGAGTGGGCCCAAGGATAGATCCCTGCGGGACACCCATTTTCACATCTGCCAATTCGGAGTATGAGTCGGTTATGAATCGGTTGCTTTCATGTTCAATTTTCACTCGCATCTTCCTTTCGCCGAGATATGATTCAAACCACTGTTTCGGGATACCGCGTATACCATAATACTCCATTTTGTTCAAAAGGATATTATGATCGACGTAATCGAACGCCTTAGATAGATCGCAAAAAATGCCCAGTGGATGTTTGTTTGATTCTAACAACTATGTATCATGATACGTAGTTGAATAGATAATTTCAAGGCAAATAAGATAGGCTACAGAAATATACAGGGTGCCTTTTGAAATATCAATCGATATTTGACATGAACGCTGAATAACATGTCTCTTAATGACACTCTAGATTGGAAATTTGACAAATGGGGTTCCATTTTACTCACAATGTGATTTTCTATCGAATTGAGTAGAAATATATCGGGCGTTCTATTCAAAATAAGAAAGTAAGGGTAATTTCCAGTCAAACCTGGAGTGACATAAAACAATTGAATACGTCAAAAAATGCATATTTACCTATTTGATTTACTTAACACTTGATTTGATCTGCTTATCTGTACAAACAAAAAAGTTAAATTTGAGAAACACCTGGTATAACGAGTAATAGTATTGTGGAGTATGTGGGTAAAGTAGCGACTGTTCAGATACATTCATTGTCAATAATTATACTCATGATCAATAGTGTTTCTCTATCCACAAGCATGTTTCTCATATATTCATTTCCGAAATAGGGATCCCAACGTCTGCAGTATAGGCATAGTCTATCCCTCGGTGTCTCCAAAGGTCGAACTTCAATTGAGCAATCATGCATTCGTTCAAAAACATTTTATATTAAAATCTGGTCAGTTTCGTCGGAAGGAACTTGAAAACAATTCTATAGATTGAAATGGTATATGTGTTTTACGACTCTTTCATTTGATTTTTTCACCGAACGCAATATTATTTGTGGAATATACAGATACACCCAGTGAGTTTTAGCAATCAAATACTTTCGGGTTTGATCGTGAAATAGAGCGAAGGGGTACCATTCTCTACGCGAGTGTAATCTCGAAAAGCTCCTAAAATTGAAAGATCGCCAGAGGCTTGCTCGAAATTAAATGCAGTATGCATCTCTCCGTCGCACTTCCAAAGAGAATATAAAATGATGGAACGCCTTATGTGAAAATTCTGATGCCCTGTGGGTTTACGAGTCAACATAGGCACGTAAAAGAGAATTTTGACATGTCGTCTTTTACCGATAGAAGAATAGCTAGAGGTACATCTCCTTGCAGGGAAAAGTGTTAGCTAGAATCTGGAAAAGCTGTTTTGTGAGATAAGCATTTTAATGAATGTTTTTCACACGATGGATGGCACCAGATCACTTTGAAGATATGTAGAAGTGAATATTCAGACATTCCCTACGCTTCTGAAATATTTTCAAGAATGTGGTGTTGCCGCTTCAATAATACTATAGAAAGTAAGAGCAGCCTCGATATCTCAAATGAAACACCTTATATGTAATAGGTACTATTTCAACAGCGTCCGAAAAACAAATCAATTTCAGATTTGTCGTTTGGACATGATCCCTAAAACTGCGTTCCTCGGATTCAGAAACACAATAATATAATGGAATGGAACCTTGGTTTGGATACTTAGCTTCTCACACTTCAGCCTAACCTCAGTTACTTCAATACAGGTGATGATTGTTCGAAAAGTCAATTATTTCGATTGCTTGAAAAACTGACTGAGAGTTGTTTATTTGAAACGGAACACCCTGTATATTGTTGTCCTGACCACGCGCGTATGTCGAAGTAATACTTATATTTTTATTTTATAGAAACGATTGGGGAGAAAAAATCTCAAATAATCTAGCAAAATGAATGATTAACCTCTACAGACAATTTGAGTATTCAATTCTGAAAATGTTTCGACAAAGAATTTCATTAAAAAACTTTCCCAACTTATATTTATCATCAATACCCTGTATACACTGTAGAGTGTAGACTTATCGTCTATTTTCAGCATTCTATGAAAATTATTCAAAGATTATAACGATCTATAGAAACGTGTAAAGATATCCAGAAAAAAAATCATAATTTTTCTTACTTAATTAGTAATTTTATATCAGGTTTTATGTGATCATAACATTTGAACATGTGACAAATTATCAAGGGCGATAAGAGCAGTTTTCGAAACGTTTTCATGTGAACTAGTACTTGATTACCTAATAGACTCATTTAGCCACCCTTCGATAAGAAAGGTGGGGTTCCATAAATATTATGTAAATTTATTACTTCTTTACACATGAAAAATACGGTATGCGTGACATATCATGGGCCGATAATTATATTAATACAGGTGTATAGTTGGTAGTTATGCAATAAAGAATGAACGAGAGGATACATAACTACAATATTTTTCTTTCCTATGAAATGTTTTCTATCGAAATATTTGGAACAATTATTCACGATCAAAATCCTTTATTATTGCTGACAGGTACTACATTTTCATTAAATCTAATCAAATGTAAAAAAATAACAAACTGCAGTCTTTTTAAACTATTTCAAAAACATTTCTAGTAGCCTAGTGCTATTGAAATGAAATCAATAATAGATACTTAACAATACAATATCTAGAGCAAGCATAAAAACAACATTTATATAGTACTAATTCCTAGAAATACTGGGATACATGATGACAATCACTATTATCACAAAATCGTACTAATAAGAATGGATTTACGTGCCATCAATTTCAACCCTATATAAACCATGCCTTATGTACCAAGAACATAATAACATTTGTTCTTCAAACACTCAATTGTCTTTATCTCTTGGATCTACCTGTGCCTTGTCACTTCGCTTTTTTCTCGTTAGAATAAAAACGATGCCTATAGTTGCCATCAAAGTGACATAAGCTAAAGCAGCATTCATAGCTGCCGCAGCCCAGTTATTAGGTCCGTGCTTAGTGTAACTAATCTTGACCCCATCTCGATCTACTATGTGCTCCATCTGGTCAGCAGATCTTGGTGACCGCTGCAAAGTCGGAGTTTGCTCACAACCTGATTCCCTCACGTACTTGGCCCAAGTTCTGTTGGCAGCGATGGTACGAGTTGGGTTAATGAAAGGTCTTCTTCCCGGTACAGTCTTGTTCATGACTATTTTTATTGCTTGAGTGCCAGTGTCGTAGTGACAGATGAGAAGCTTTTTGCGTTTAACTTTGCCCACAGAGACGTCTTCCTGGGTGATTGTAGATCCTTCTAGGAGTTCTAAGTTGCCCTTTTGTAGAGTAGCCCAGTCCCAAAGATTTGCAACGGAGCAATCGCACTTCCAGGGATTGCCTATTAGTTTAAGTATCTCAATTTTGGGATTCAGGCTGAGATCTTTGGGTGAGAAAGTTGTGAGGTTGTTGTATCTTAGATCGAGTATTTTCAGTTTAGACAGCGACCCCAGAAACCGCAGGTCGTTGGGAGAGGAGAAATGATTGCCAGCCAGGATGAGACTTGTAATGTTTCTGGTCCAGTAGAAGGCTTCCGCCGGGAGGAACGTCAAGTTGCAGTTCCCGAGATCCAAAGTTTGTAGTCGTGACAATTGTTTGGGCAGCAACGGCCCTGTTTTTGACACACGGAGCGGGTTGCCAGCCAGCTGGAGCTCTGTCAGATCCGTGTAGGTAAAATTGTTGAAGAACAATGTGGCATTGAGAGGCCGCCTTAGTCCGCAGAAGTTTAGCTCCAAACTTTCCAATCGGGTGAAGTTCCCGAACAATCCGGCTTCGAGACTACTTAGATCGTTGCCTGACAGAATCAGTCGTCGCATGGATGTCATCTTGGAGAATGACGCGGGCTGAATGTGGGATAAGTTGCTGTAACCCATGTTTAGATATTCCAAAGTTTCCAGGGGCGCTAATAGCTTAACGAACGCGTCGTTCAGAGGATTGTGAGATATGTCCAACTCTTGCAAACTTTTGAATTTACCGAACGTATCGGGTAAACGACTCAAACCGCAATTGCTCAAAGAGAGTTTGTGCAAGTTTGTTAAAGGTGATAGGGCCAGCAATAAATCAGATGCGAACAACGTGTTGCCGGACAAATAAAGGTTCCGTATTTTTGTGACATTGGCAAATGCGTCCTCCGATAGTGGCAAACTCAAATTGCAATCAGATAAATCCAGCGTATCGAGATTCTGAAGTTTACTTATAGTTGCCTCGACGTCCAACCCTGCTAGGTCATTCTCGGCCAAGATTAATGTTCGGCAATATTGATTGCCATCAAACATCGTGCTAGGTAAACTCGTCAAGCCAGATTTTCTGAAATCGATGTGCTCAAGTAAAACCAAGTGACTAAAAACAACGTCCCAGTTAGTGGCGTGGAAATTGTTCTCCATCAATTCCAAATTCTTCAGCAAACTCAAAGAACTGAAAGCGCCGTTTGATATATGAGTCAAATTACACCTATTCATCTTGAGATTTTCCAGGCCGCTCAACGGTTTAAATACGTTGTTATCTATCTCGACGAGAGGATTATCCGACAGATCTAGAATGCTGAGATGTGTCAAGTCCGCAAAAAATCCCTCGTTCAATTTACTGATGCTGCAGTTGCTCACATCCAAATACAGCAATGACTTGACTGATATGAGTGGTCCCTCTACTTGATCCAGTGGATTACCTTGGAGTTCCAGATGTATCAGGCCCGCTGAATCACTGAAATATTCGATTAGACCTATAAAGTGATTGAACGTTTTGTGAACTTGGCTTTTAACTATATGCTAATTCAGCTAATCGCTGAGTTATACTCTCTGAATTCCACAGAATCTTTTATTAGAAAAGCAATCAGAATCAGGAATAGTTCTTATCATGAGTTTTTCTATTTCTCTTCGAATTGGTCTTTCATTCTACCCGTTTATAATTTAGTTCCAATTCAGAGTCGGTACAATGATAGAACAAAGTTCTATTCGAATGTTTTCAAATATTTTTTAGGATATTCAATTATTTCTTGATAGCAGATTCTGATTATGTATATGACATCGCAAAAAAAGAGACTATATTAAAACATCTGGTATACAGGGTGATTCACGGTGGATGGCACATTAGACGTTTCTGGAAAACGCAACTCAGGATTATTCTGAAAAATTTCGATTTTTTCAATGGAACACCCTGTATATCATTCCATTTTCAGAGTCTCCCTGAAGAGCTGATTCCATCGATCACACTTGGGGACTAGCCGGAATGATAGCAAAGATATAGGGTGTGAAAAATCGAAATTGAATTTGTTGGGTCGAAACTTCTCATAATTGATCAAAATGGTTTTCATGTCCCTATCTCAACTTTTCATGTACTATCAATTGATATTTAACTGAAATAAATACAGGGTAGTTCAGAATTAAGATTTTTGACCATCCTGTATCTATTTCAATTGAATATGGAAACCTTGTTGATCAATTATGAACAGTTTCGACACAAAAAAATTGTTAAAGTTGAAAAATTTCGATTTTTCACACCCTATATCTTTGTTACCGTGCCCGCTAGACGCCAAGCGTGATAGATCGATGGAATCAGCTCTTCAGGGAGAATCTGAAGATGGAATGATATACAGGGTGTTCCACTGAAAAAAAAAATAGTTGTTGCTACTTTTCAATATAAGCGGCAACGTCGCAACGCTGAGAATATTTTAGGTCGATAGAACACAACTAATTATCCACAGCACCAACTTTACAGAATAATCCTGAGTTGGCGTTCTCTAGAAACGTCTAATGTGCCATCCACCGTGAATCACCCTGTATAAATTGAAGAAAATTCACATTCAATTAAGAGAAAATCTGGTCATTCCTTATGAAAGTTCGTGACGGGTGAAGTTTTGTATTTGTCAATATGAAAGGAACCTGATTATGAAATCGGAAAAATCCGGAGTTGTGAATTATTTATTATGGAAATCTAATTAGTTTACGACGAGTTTGATATGTCTCTTTCAAGCAGAGAAACTGCGTAGGACTAACTTTAACGAACCAATTTCAGAGTTCCATCCTAAGTGTCATACGGTAAACGCCTAATTCAGTACATGAATCTCATTTACCTTCGGATATTTACATCCATAGATTAGATACCAACATTATACTGCGATGTTTGGAAAACATTTCGATAAATAAATTTTTGAAGATTCTTTTTTTGAATTCGTCTTACATTCAGATCATAACGAATAGTTTATCCAAAGACTAGAGCCATAAAAATAATCCTATTGTACCTCAAACCAAAACATAGAAGTACCAAAGTCGTTTTTTTTTCAGTTAAGTTTCTGATTCAAATTTTTTTATCTGGATCAAGTGGAGAAACGTATGAATTCAAACAAAACTGATTGAGATTAATATAAAAGTACTCTAATGACAAACTGAGATATCGAATCTTAAGGATGTCCCATACAATGAATTATCTCGAAAGGTAATACCATGGATATGTTACATCAAGAGAAAAATGCTTTCGAATACCCATAGAATGTCACAGAATATCCCTATTGTACGGGATGACCTGGATCGGTATATTTCGAGGTATTCTCTTGATACATCAATTGGAAGTCTTGGATAGTACATACTCTGGCATGAAGACGAGAAGACGTCTAAATGAATATTATCCTAACACGGATATATACCGTGAAATTTATTTTTGAAAGTATTTTTGGGGGATATATCCATTGAAGTATTCAAAAATAGAGATTTTAGGATCGAGACATCTGAAGACGTCCCTGATCAGTCATCCACGAAGGACATTTAAATGTCGTACAGATTCCTCAAAGATTTATTCTTTCTGGAACAATGTCACCATTGGTATAATAATTGTGCTCATGTCTCTTGACAATCCAGACGGCACCAGATTTCCAATGAATTTCTCATGAACATACCAAAGATGTAAATATCTTCGATGGAATATTTCCTGAATGTGGGGAAGAATGTATATATTCTCAATACTTTACACAAGGAATGTTCCATGAATATACAACAGAGTATTCAGTTGGGAATATTTCTGGAACATCAATAGCTGAATATGTTCTGAACTATCCAACTGAAATATTCTGAAAATATTCACTTTTGGATATCCCTGCTGCAATATTCCTTGTATATTATTTTGGAAATTGATGGAATATTCAGAGTAGTGAACAATGAAAACACAAGAGCTTCTTCTTTATCGGATAAAAATCTCTTCCTAACGAACAAAATTTGCCAATCAGTAATTTTACGAGAAAAACTGATGACAACAATAAAGATTACCTTCATTGATAATTTCGTTATTCTTGTTGTTTTTTGCGGAATCATTGATTGTTTTATAATTTTTGTGGTTTCTTCAAATGAAATTTTCTAATTTACGCGTGAACAATACCCAATACTATATAGATGAAGTATGGTTTTGAGGAACATGCAGTTTTACAGCGATAAAAAAGGTGCATCTTTTTTTATCGATGTCAAAATGATTCACGTTATCGTCAAATAGCTTTTTTTGTCGGATGATTTTTTCTTCCTAACAAAAAAAATTATAGGTCGAGCAATGTTGTCTAATGTCAGTTTTTTGAGTTAGCAAGGAGTTAGTAAGGAGATTTATTCAATTGAAAAAAAAGTTCCAGTGTTGTGTGGCAAGATAAATCAACGACAATATACAAATAAACGACAATATTAATCACCTTCATTGATAATTTCATGTTTCTTGTAGTTTGTGGAATAGATTTTTTTATATTTTTTGTGGTTTCTCTAGACGGAATTTTCCTAAAACGGCTCATCTTGATCATTCACGGGTGAACAATACCCCACAATCAAACTTAACAGGACAGAAATTGGAGTGACATCAGGCGTATACCATACTATACCTTTTCAACTTCAATTTCGGAATCGGTGAGTTATATTTCGGAAAAAGTAATCTCGATTTCAGAATTGGTTAGTTCGATTTCAGAAATGGTAAACTCAATTTCAGAATCGGTGAGATGAATTTCAGAAAAAGTCCATTCAATTTCAGAAATGGTAAGTTGTATTTCAGAATTATTATTGGTAGGTTCAATTTCAGAAGATGAAATCCTTTTATATGTTTGAAATGTTTTTAATTGCAAAAGAGAAGATTGTTACAGTGGATGGAACGGGGTTTGAGAGCCCTATGTTGAATCAGATTGAACATATTTGGGGTGCCTTCAAGTCAGAAGTGAAGAGCTTCTTGCAAGAGCATCGCCAAAGGGTCATAGCTGGAGATCCGAACAGATTGCTCAACCATTTAGAATTCAGACTGCGATGTCTTGAAGAATGTGCAGATCATTCAATGAAAATGATAACACCTCAAATGTGTTTGCATTCTTATAATCATGTGCAACGCCACTATCTTCCAGCGATTCAGATGGAAGGCATCTGTAGATTAAATTGTTTTTGAAAAGTTGAATATTTTAAATATGGTTTGTTAATCTCACATGCAATTGGAAACATTTCGAACAAATATAAGGATTTTTTTCATGATATTGAACCTACCAATTCTGAAAAACAACTTACCATTTCTGAAATTGAATGGACTTTTTCTGAAATTCGTCTCACCGATTCTGAAATTGAGTTTACCATTTCTGAAATCGAACTAACCAATTCTGAAATCGAGATTACATTTTCCGAAATATAACTTACCGATTCCGAAATTGAAGTTGAAAAGGTATAGATGAAGTATGGTTTTGAGGAACAGGCCGTTTCACAGCATCCTTTTTTATCGATGTCGAAATGACTCGCGTCACCGCCAAATAACGTTTTCTATGGGGAAGTTGATTTGTCAAAAACAAACATTGGTACTTCTACGCTCAGTGGAAAAACAAGAATGAAAAGTTCTTACTCGAACGCATGCCGATCGATCCTGGTGATCCTGTTGTGCGAAAAATCGGCATCGATGAGGTAGTGCAGATTCGCGAACGACTCCTTCTTGAGCTCCTGCAGCGCGTTGTCAGCCAGCTGCAGTCTGCGCACCTTAAAGTCAGCCGGAAAAGGGGCCACCTCGCCGATGAGGTTGTTGTTGAGGTCCAGGACGTACAGGTTCGGGCTGAGCTCGTCGTAGGGGATCCTGGTGAGATTGCTGTCCGAGCAATCTGTCACCCAGTTGACGCGGAAGTAGTGGCAGTGACAGTCGTCGGGGCATTCTAGTTCTGCCAGTTCGCCGTTGAAGCAGGAGGATGGGTGGCAGCAGGAGGCTAGCAGGATAACGAGCGCGGGCAGGCCTTTCATGGTGCTGGAATAGATTTTGGGGTGCAGACAGGGGCGGCAAGCAGCGTTGCCTAAGTTTGGATTCACGATTATGGTACCAACACTTTGTAACATCGCTCGTCTTACCAATTGAAAGGTCATGCATCACGGAAAAAAGGATTTGATGCATGAACAAATTATTTATTTTTGTTGAAATGAGCAATTTTTTGTTGAATCAACCAAATACATGATTATTTCATGGAAGCAGCTTGTTCAAATCAAGATTCAATTAGACTACAGTCTAATTGAATCAACAGTATAATATGAATTCCATCAACAAAATATATGTTTTTTTCAAAAAGAAATTATGTCGATCCAAAATAATGTCGTTGTTGATTCAACTATAAACATTTTGTTGATTTGATCATATGATGATCATTTTCATGAGAATATATCATTGAAACAACATACAAGTTTTCTTATTCCGATGTAGCAATGAACTCGTTTCGAACGGATCATTTGCTTGAATAGAGCAATGAAATATGTAATAGCAATGATATATTTTGTTTATTCTACATCAAGTTAGATTTTTCGCCTCTAGATGGCGATCATTTCGCCTCGTCTATGCCTGCCTCGAATCAATTAAATACGTGAAGCCTGATTTTTCGTGTTAGTAATATCAGCTGGATAAATCGAACTTAGGATGATTAGCAATCCGAAATAGTTTTTGCATCAGCTGAAGAGAAGTGAAGACTGAATATCTATGCTAGAAGTCGACTAGTTTCCTAGATTAGTTTATTCTATTAATGTGAAATTTCAGAAAATTCCCGAATTGATACTGAATTTGGTTTAACAAAACAATTTGTCGAATACAGTTTCTCTTGATTCATCGAAATATTTCATTGAATCAACTAAATATTAGATTGAATCAATATCTTGTTATTTTGTATCAAACAAAATGATTGTTTGAGCCAATTCAATATCTTTTCACAAACGATTCATGGATGTGCTTGATTGAATAAGATTCAGAGTTCATGCAAGACTCATTTACTCAATTTAAACTTCAAATTCACTCTGAAACAAGATATAGATTCACTCATTTCAAGATTATATTTTGTCGTGCATATATGACACTTTTATTTGCCTCATTCAATAAAATTTTACTTGATTCAACAATTCCTTCTTTTCTGTGCATGGAGTACCACAAGGATCGGTACTGGGACCAATATTATTTATTTTATTCATAAATTACATTATACATCACATCCAAAATTGTAAGCTGAAACTATTTGCGGATGATACCTCTCTGACGAAAAACAGGATGTGGAGAAATTCTTGAATTTAGATCTTGAGAATATATTCACCTGGATCTGTGACAATGGACTCAAAATTAATGTTATAAAGACGAAATTCATGATTATATCTTCGGAAGCAAATTCAAAAATGACCCTGTATTGAAACCATTGAGTCCAGAAGTTGATGTTAACTGATGTTAATAAGAGCCAAAATACGGATAAACGGGAGGAAAAGACGAACATTATAATTAATTTTCATTCAAATTTACAAGAATTTGTCGTAGTCAGATCAAACTGTATTTTAGCTTGAAGGTAAGATTGTACATCTCGAAATAAAATCATTTTTGGATATATCTATAAATGGGTACCTATCCTGTATAAAATGAGTAAACTGACGTTCTCCGGAAGGTTGTTGGTCATACTGTATACGCACGCATGATGGCATTGACAAATCCGCTGTATCGATAAACTCTGATTTATAACCTGAAATATATTTTTTTCGATTCTTATATCAGCAGAAAACGTTATCCATGTGTACATCCCGGCAAAAAGGAAAGGCGAATTTAACGATCTGCCAAAGATGGTGACACAGTTACAACCCTATATAGTTATTGGAACTGCTGAGCTAAGGCCGACATTCTTTTTGAGAATAGAACGATGAGTTTTATTTAGTTCTATCCTTTGTCATAACTGTATGGCGGCTCCTCAGGAGCATTGAAGAGAGCTTCTGCGTATTATTGCTTCTATTGTTGCCACATTTCGCGTGCCGTGGAAAGAAAATGTGGAACATTTCCGCGATACAGGTAATGATGCAGGACAGATTCATTTTCAGCGAACTGAACAAACATATATTTCTCTGGGATGTTCATGAAAGATGGGAACCCGCTGCCGTGCGAATTGGAACGATGCTTCTCGCGAACGGATTATGTCACCAAACAAAATATGGCATATACAAAGGAGAATCGTGGTTTCTGGGATTCGACCCTGTCAACTGGGATACTGGCTGTTTATGAAAACATAACTGAATTCGAGTAAGAGATTCCTGGCTTCGGTCGTTATTGAAGCAATCTGAAAACCGAGTCTTTCTGGAAGTTGTTGATAGAGCCTAGCCACTATATGGGAAATATTGCCATGGTGGCAAGTGAAGAGCGTATAAAATTGTTTTGTAGTTTATTTTGCCAGAAGCGTGCTGGTCATTCGAGTAGTGTTCGGTAACAAATTCAATTTGGCTATTGTCAATAGTTGTATTATGATTAATGAGGTTGGAAGGATCATTGCCTCAGTTTTGTCAACATTAAGATTGAGTTTATCAGAGTTGAAGTAAATCTGAATGTGCTGCAGTGAGTAATTGATTTTATTCATGGCATGTTTCATGTATATATCTACAATTTTCCGAACATGACCACGAAAATAGCAATCTGTTCTCTCCTCGGTTCTCTCTCCCATTTTTTTGTATTTCGAACAGGGTATTGTTAATTTTAATTTGTCACAACATCCCCCTATCTGTTGTGCCATTTGTCAGATTAGAGAGATAATGCAGTCCATTAGTCCATTTGTGAACCGGCCGATATCGCTCTTCTCTTCTGCTATAAGTTATTCACTTCCGGCAGAGACCGCACATATTTTTCCCTCTACGCTCATAATCGTGATTTATTTCGTGTTTTGTTGTGCATTATAGTTGATTGCCCTTTTGTGACGATACATCCTGTTGTACATTTCATTATAAGAAGTCTCCCTCTAAAATATTAACGATTATGTACCGTTATGTACACATAAATTGGCCATCTTCCATCTCCTGACACGGGTTTGTTCTTTTATGTTGAGCTCATGTATATGTGACTTGTGACTGACATGTGTGATATGTGATACAACTTCTATTTTTCTCTAAATGAACAGATATGAAGAGATACATTGAGAATGCGCATTCTCTATGTAATGAAAATATTAATTCTTTCTCGGTTTATTCAACAGAAAACAACTACTTTCTTGGCTATATGCCACGACGAACATTGAATTATATCTATTGAAGACACACGATGAGAATTTGGAAACAAAATCTTCTGAAGTAGAGAATTTGCACATAATATCAGTCTCAATATTCAACAGAAAACAATTACTTTCCTGGCTATTTGCCACGTCGAACATTATATTATATTATATGAAAAATGAAAATCCTCAGAAATTGAGAATTTACATTATCTCCCAAATCGAATAGAATAATATGATGTATTATGATATAAAAATATATAACTTACCAATGTGTTCAGTATTGAAATGAAGATTGGAATGTATACGAGAAGTATACTTGCATGAACTCTGATATTGATGAGCTTGGAACTTCAAAAAAAATCATTCGTATCAGTGATATGGGAATTATATCTCTCACAAACAGGTTATATGAAGAATGGCTGTAAGAATAAGTGGACATCATGGTTACTGATGAGGATTCAGAAATCCGAAATGGTTTCATTGCAATAAAGTCATATAACCTGTGTGTGAGAGATACTATTTCCCATATCACTGATATGAATGATTATTTTTGGAAGTTTTCAAGCTCATCAGGATCAGAGTTTATGCCAGTATACTTCTCCTATACATTCCAATTTTCATTTCAATGCTGAATATATTGGTAAGTTATATTTCTATATCATTATACATCATATTATCCATCCGATTTGAAGAAGAATGTCAATTCTCAATTTCGGAGGATTTTATTTTTTATTTTTCATGTTCTCCTTTTGAATGTTCATCAGATATAATTCAATGTTCGACGTGGCAAATAGCCAGGAAAGTAGTTGTTTTCTGTTGAATATTCAGAATGATGTGTGCCTATAAATATTTTTGTCTGAAGGAGAATGCAAATTCTCAATTTCAGAAGTTTTTATATTTTATTTTCAAACTCTTATCGTGTGTGTTCAATAGATATAATTCAATGTTCTTCGTGGCATATAGCCAGGAAAGTAGTTGTTTTCTATTGAATAAACTGAAAAAGAGTAGATATTCTCATCACATAGAGAATGCGAATTCTCAATGTATTGCTCCATATAAATATATATCCATATTTGTATGTCCATAATTTATCTGAGAATATTCCTTTTCAATATCAATATTGTTTGAGACTAAGTCAATCCAACTTTTTATTACTTTTTTTAATAAACAATTTCTGAGGATGACAAGTAATCTATCTATAAATATTCTTGATAAATGTTGTGAAGATTTCAAACCTGAAGAATCCTTTGTATTTAGAAATTCAGACTAGCAAGAAATGGTATCTCTAGAGCAACGTTGAAGCGAAACATGATTTATTTTGGGTTTGCGTAAAAAACTTGTCGGGGTAACGAACACATAATATATGAGCTCCTCGCTCTAGCGCCCCGAGTTAAGCTCTTAGGAGCGAAAATAAATGAAACAATTAAATCTGAAAAATGGTCTTTTTTAAATGGGAAAATAAAATATTTCATCGATCCCGAGCTCTCGGATTGGCGATGGCGATCGAACGCGAAAGTCCCTATTTAATGGGGTTTCCCATCCCTATGTGCCCGTATTCAGCCAATTCAATGAAATCTGGAGGATCAAACGGAGGTGAAATTGGTTGAATTACGAAAAAACGCTATGAATTTGATAATGAACGTCTTAGTTTATTTCTCTCATTGTAATAGATCAGCACTTTTTCTCGTGGAAACATGCGCTATTATACAGGGTGTTTCAGATTTAAATGTACAAACGATACCTGTAGATAGCGGACACTTCGGTGGTTCCAAATCAGCCCCCATCGATATGTCTACCGTCTTTTATAACTGAGATACAGGACGATATCTTGATTTTGGCAAAATCTTCATCTGGTTATAACTTTTGAACCACTTTGTATAATTTATCCATACTTGGTATAAATATTCCACTTATATTACCCATCAAAACCAAATGAAAATCTGGATCAGAATCCAGGTCCGTCTTGAGGAAAAACAGAAAACTTCTTTTACCTCAAAAACAACGCCCTGTATGGCAAAATTCTGTAGGTCTGTTTTGATATTCGGAAAGGGCAGAAAAAATGAAATAAGTGACCTACTTTTTACGAGTGCGCATCTAATTTGACAGATTTCGAGGCATTTCGAGGCATTTTTATTGAACTTATAATTCAAAATTCAATTTTAATACAAAAAAATGACAAAGTTCAACATCATTAAAGTCAAATTAGGTGAACTGTCGATAGATTTGTTGTGACAGAACCACTTGTCTATGGTATCATACATTTTCGAGGGCTCATTTTATTTTCCACTATTAATTCACGAGCTGCTGTTAAGTAGGCTGTGCGAAAAAAATCTGATACCCTGACAGGTCATAATCACTAGTGTGATATTATTGGTAATGTTAAGATAATTATTTCAGGTGCTTGTATTGGGTTGTTACATTTTAGCGATTGTGTTTTTGAAAAAATCACTACGCCACTGGATTCAGATTGCCTCTAAACAGGTGTGACCAAAATTTCATGAAAAAATATTCATTAATAGTTATAACAACTCAAAAATTCGAAAACTCACACAGCTAACAGTCACAAAAAACACCCTATATCAACAGATATAGCCATGAAAAGATTTTTTTTTCATGATTCCAACAATGAAGTGCGACCAAAAGGAAAAAAACATGAATGCGTAAATTTTGTCAATGAAAATAACGGAATTACACTCAAGTTTTCACGCAAATTAACTAAAACTACCTTATTGATTTTTCAATTTGAATCTTAGTTGCAATGGAAATGATATTTTCATTAAAAGAGTTTACGCTTCCATTTTTTTTTCTCATCTGGTGGCATTTTATTGTTGAAATCATAAAACAAATATTCTCATGGCTTTATCTGTTGATATAGGGTGATTTTTGTGATTGTTAGCTGTGTGTTTTCGAATTTTTGAGTTGTCATAACTTTGTCATTAATGAATATTTTTTCATGAAATTTTGGTCACACCTGTTTAGAGGCAATCTGAATCCAGTGGCGTAGTGATTTTTTCAATAACACAATCGCTAATGAAAAATCCCGATTTTCGACTAAGAAAAAATTTCGTATAGTATTTCAAATTTTGTCCCCAAAAAATATGAACCTAATGACTATCTTCCGTCATACCAAACCTTTTTTACTCAAATTGTACGATTCAATCACAGATGGTTTTCGATTCGTAGGAAAGATATACTAAGATGAACCTTTTTTTCATTGAATCGTCACATCGAAATGAGAAATTGCCGAGGAGATCACAATGCCTCAACATTATTCCATGAAGTTGTTCAGAATGGTAATGTTTTCATTTATTCTGTATTATTTTTTCAACAACTCGGCTTGTTATAGAATCCGGCTCGAACGAATATTTCGTTTCGTATATCATGATATACTCGTTTGCATTATTTGAACAAGCAAGATGATGTGCAGTTATCCTCTCAGTTATCACAAAGGACCAGGGAAATGTAATTCAAAACACGGCAGCTGAAAGAATAAAAAATGAGCTCGAAATGCCAGCATATTATAATATAATACTACATTTCATTAGTCTCGAAGTGATATATCACATAAATGTAATGAGACTTTTTCGATCGTGAAAGATTGGTTCAATGCAAACTTCTTGAGTTTGGACATGGATAAAACAAAATCAATTCCATAATCGTCAGAAAACCTGTATCGATGTGAACATATCTACAGATAATCACTGTGTGAACATTGTTCAAGAAGTCAAGTTCTTAGGACTGGTCGTGGATGAGTGTCTTACATGGAATAATCATTGTCGAATACAACAATCCAAATTGAATTCTTATACTTATAGGTACCTACTCATATCAGTTCAGGAATCTCAAACCATTACTTAACCGTGACCAAATCCTGAAGTACGTTTCTGGGGCCTATCTACCGCATCATCAGATGTTTTTATTGCACAGCAATACGCTCACCACTGAACTATAACCCTACTCACTCGTAGGAATATCAAAACGCTCTTCTTATAGGGACCACTTTAAAAACTTGAAAATCCTGGCTCTACCATCGTTGTTTATTCTTGAATTCTGATGTCTTTATGTGTATAAAAATCGAAATATCTTCAAGATTGATAATTCAAGGTACGAATACAATACACGCCAAAAAGATCACTTTTATATTCCGTTTAGCAGAGATTAGTAATACGAAAATTCTTCTATAGCACAGTATAGAGCTCTAAAGAAGTGAAATGGAAGGAAATGATAAATTTTTCAGTCTCAAAAGATCATTAAAGGATTTCCTAGTGAAAAAATGTTTTTATTCTATAGGGGAATATCTACAAATGTAAAACATGTAAATTTTTAATATATTTTAGATGTATAACTGTAGTTTTAAGTTATTTGTGTTTGTTTTATCTATCTTATCTATAACTTTTATATCTACTCCACCTGTAATGACGAATCCAACACAATTTTCAATTGTCAGATGGAAAATAAAGATATTATTATGTATTATTATTATTACTTGATAAACTAGGTATCGGTACGTAAATAATTCGTACCTACTGTTTTGTGATACTGGACTTGATTGGTCCTGGCGTAGTTATGGGTGGAGATATCAAAGAAGGTGGCACTGAAAGATATTTGATTTCACAGGATATACCAGACTTTGTAATTTGTTATGAAACCAAAATATTATTGAAATATTGTTCAGAGGATCCATAGAGAATCCTACATCCTGTGCTGATTAAAAAATGGAGATTCTAAGCATTGTACTATCGAAGCATAATGCAATTTTTTCAAAGGGAATCTCGTTTTTACACGTCGCAGACTATTCTCATTGCATTGTTAATCTGCTCTTTTCTGAATATACAGGGTGTTTCTAAACTTCATGTTTTTTGTGAGCTGACGATTCACAAGAACCAGTGTCACTTTTTTGAGAGGCCATAACTCACTGAGGAAACATTTTCGTACACATGTTGATGTTCTAATTGTTGTTTTGGGAATCTGCTCACGAGAAATTTCGTTGTAGTTCAGGAGCACCCTGTATATAGGGTATTGGATATAGAATTATGAAGATGCAACATCTATGCAGAAAAAAGTCGCTGAAGATAATTTGGATTCGTTTGAAGTCTAAATTATTCAGTAGGTATAGTTGACCTATTGGTCTGAATCTTAAAACTGTTTCAACAAAATAAGTCGTTGAAGACTTCATATTTCATGTAACTTCGTTATCTGGAATAAATGAAAAATCTGTTTCAATCTCCATTCCATATCGAAAATTTTGTATTAGCTGTTCGAAACAAGAATCGATCTCCGCTCTGCCACTTAAAATGATAATTAAAAATTCTAATATTAATGGTAGCACTATTTAGACATAATTGAGTTAAAAACGTTATTAGCTACTAAACCGGATTGCCTTCATAAATCTAAGCGCCAAATTAGGTTGTTTGCAGACCGAACTTTATTGCTCTAGGTAGGTATTTCAGGGATTTACTGAAAATTCACCCGAAGTATATATAGGTATAGGTAAACTATTACCTTCAAAACTTTTTAAACGAACTTACTTTTTCAAGTAAACAACATAATGTGATATGCTTTGGGTAATATGATAAATCAGTCTGTAATACAATCTTGGATATAAGTATATATATTCATAATATACACGTATAGCAGATCTACGCTGTTTTATCTTCAATCATTTTCAATATATGGTCATGAAAACAATGGGGATAATGTAACGCAAATAGATGGTCTACAGATATTTTGAAACAAATATATGTATGCAATTCATCAAACTGAATTCCTTAATTTATAACGAAACGAAAGTCACATGAATGAGATATTGAACTTGAACCGACTTATTGAGAGGTTATATCTTCTAATTATTGTTCTATGAAGTCGTGCACTCCCATTCTCCATTGAATTAGCCATTTAGATCGATTACTTGAACGTCAGTCAACAATCAATTAATTTCTTCATGCTATTAGTTATTGAATCCCATGTTCAATTTATTCAAGAGGTTACTCATGCTCATATTATGGAGACACTTTGACACCTGTGACTTTGATAATATCTACTCAACCCCTAACAAGTTCCGACTACAAATTATGGGTGAAGTAAGTATAGTGTGAATCGGGTATAGGTATATACACCTATTACTATTGTATATATACTATTGGAAATTGGAATTATGGCAAGAACAGGGCTATTGCAGATGGCTACTTCATTCAATTATTTAAGTCCGATGTCTCGTCTGTCATCACCTTGGTCATCTCAGATCTCACCTGTCGTTAAGCCAACTGACAACATAAAACATAACCTAACAATAAGGGACTAAGTGTTGTGTGTCGAGAGTTTCATAATTTATGGGTCAACATTCAAAAATATCATAATGACACCAGTGACAAGGAATTGATTTGAAAGTCGCGCTGTTCAACTACATATATAACTGTTGCGCGCGCATTGTATTTTGTCGGCATGATCCATTTCAAAACAAACAATGATACTCTCACATTAAAAGATTATCACATATTGATACCAAATATGAATATTCTAAGAATCCACACAACTTACCGTTCTAGTATCTTCCAAAAAACACGAAAAAGGGCTGCCACATTCTTTTCAACAATAATTCATAACAACCTAAATCTCTCGCTATGTGTTCTACGTTTTTATACTGACCTATACAACACAAGATTATCGACCCGATTTTACTTCGTTTATGTTCGGTTTGAGACTCGATTCAATTCCGTATAGTACAGGCAATGAGTACAGGCATTGGTAATGCATACAATAATGATGCTATGACGCATAGCCTTAGAATACAGGGTATTAATTGATTGAGTGCCGATAATACAAAATGTGAATACTCGGGTGATTTTGAGGAGAAAAGTTTTCAACAACATAATATGACCTAAACCTCTTAGTTTTTGAGCAATAGGGTGTTGAAATTTTGTGATAATTTTTCCCACTTAGATATTTTTATGAAATTTGGTACACACCTTTTCATCGTTATGGAGCATTTTTTTACGGGGATGATTTTTCAACATTTTCACCAGTGACGTCCGTACGGGGTTTGAACTGACAATTTTCGAAGGGATTTTCTGAAAATTGGAATTTTTGAAATCCCCATTCATATTGGAGCAAATTTGGTTCCTAGATGTAATTTCATACGATGTACCGTTTCCGCGTGGAAAAATGAAAACAAAAAGCATGTTTTCTTCAGTACATTGTTTCTGGTAGGTATTTTGTTAAAATTCAGTAGGCACTCACTATGAGTAGAAACACATTTTGTTTTGGGACGAAAATCAATTTTTTACCCTTACCAGTGTTGTTCACGTAGGCCTGATATTGAATGTTTTGATTTAAAATAAAACTGTACGCCTCTGATTTCAACACCCTGTATCTCAAAAGCTGAGAGGTTCAGGACATGTTAATATACAGTGTGTAACAATTTGCTCCCTCTCCCCCCTCTGTGTTCTCGTATTCCTAGGAAGATTCAAGAATTTTTATTTCTCGTAATATTCTACTCAAAATTATTTACTTTGTCAATCACAATTTTCAAGCCTACTGCGATCACAAAAACTCTAGCGGAATGAAAGATGACGAAATAGGCTTTTTTTTAAGTTTTGATAATGACAATCGATTCGATCGGACTAGCCACAAATACTCCTATCTATTTTTAAAACAATATGGTGATTTTTATTAGCGTTACAATTTTTCAATACTTACATTTTTCAAGTCATCATGTAAGTATAATAATCCTTTTAGAATCTGAATAATACCAGACATGATGGTAGTCAGGATCAGATCATCTGGCTACAGGGTGAGAAATTCAGGCCAAGAAATAGAGAAGAGTTTCGAAGGAGAATAATAACAGTTTGCAGAGAGATACCACCAGAAGAACTGAGAAGAGTTGAAAATATCGTGCGAAAGAGAATAAAGCGATATGAAAAGCGAATAGAGAATTAAGGATATTTGATCGAGAATACAAATTATTATTAATGTTAATATTGAACGTGCAATTCGAAGCATTCTGCAAATTAATTGCAGAGGCTTAAATGTTTTTCTGCCTACCTCTATCCCAAGTAAACATTTCCTGGCCTCATTGTAGGAATCAAAGTCGTACTTTTCTTCCCTAGGAAGGAAAATTACTTTTTGTACAGGGTGTGCCAAAAATACAAGATGTATCAACGTTGCAATGTTTTAAATGACATTTCCTGTGAAGAGCTGATTTCATCAATTCATCAGGCTTGGAGTCTATACGTTACCACCGGTATCGGTGGTAACGGTCTAAAGCGGAAATGATTACCGAGATATAGGAAATTTCGGATTTTTTTGTGCTGAATTTATTCATTATTGGTCAAAACGGCTCACATGTCCCTATCTCAACTCCTGATTTACTATCCACTGACAATGAATTGGAACAGATACAGGGTACTTCAAGATTCAGAATTCTGATCACCCTGTATCTGTTCCAATTACGTGCCTATAAGCTATACTGTACCTAGTTCTTAGTTTTAGTTATTCAATAAATTTTGTTTGTCAGTTTCGAAATAAAACATTTGAAAATGACTTGTTGTTTGAGGATGACGGAAAAATCATATGTATAACATGGGGGTAAAATAAGTGCCTTTTCCTCCCTTGAATGATAACTGCCCTCAGCTACGCGCAGTAACTTTGGAAATATTTGATTTGAATTAGAGATGAGTATATACTCAGAATCGGGTTCCTCTCGAAGGTAACCTAAATCTAGCCATTCGTTCTGTCTATTCTGTGGCCACATTAATTTATCTGAATAATTATTGAAGGAGTAATGAAGGGGCAGGTGAAGAAATTCGGATTAAATTCTTTTTTGTTTGAACGATGAATATGTACCTACCTGTTTATTGCTTTAATGAAATTATATTATTGATTTTGACAACCGATTCTTACGCAGAATTATACTCAGTTTGTGAGTAAAAAAAAGGTTGTTTCGATTCATTCGATATTAGAAGGCTCCTCACATTCAGGGTGTGACTTTAAATAGAGGCTTGAATTTCAAATTCGTTTGAATTGAAAGTTAAACCTTCTTGCTAACTGAAAATATTGTCACAATTCTTGTTATTATATTTTAAGAATTTGACGACACATTCACCCACTTGTTTCTCCAATAATTGTTGTGAATTGATCTCAATTGATTACTGCATCTATACTGTCACACTTCACCAAATTTTGGTAGTCATTCTCTCGAAATTTTTAATATTGGAGCACCTTTACTAGTCAAACCCTGTCACTCATTTGAGGTGATCAGAGATCAGAGATCCCTTGTAACTTTTAGACAAAGTATAACTTCATCAGCTATATCAACTATTTTCAGTATTTCTTCGCAATTTTTACGAAAGATAAGGAAAATCATTACATTTATATATCTTTATTTGTTATAATACAATAAACAGTATGTAACATGAAGAAATAATATTCAATATTATTTTATAGAATAAATATAGGTGTCATGAAGAACAAGTAGTAGTATAAGTATAGTATTTATGCTAAAAAAAAACGCGAAAGTAATTTCAATTTAAACGTCTAACAAAATACAATACCGTATGAGTGTAAAATATCATTCATGGAATAATTACAATTCAATAAATATTATGGTCTTCTATAACCTGTTATTTGCAGCACATTGACAAGTTTCATTAATTTTATATATAGGTATTATGTGTGAATAATATTCTTGAATTCGGTGACTTTAAAATACCGTCAGATGGACAGATTTTATTGCTTCAGTTTTTTTCTGTCTCCGATCCAATACTCATTATATTTTTCTACAAAATTTGAATTGTGGCTACGCATAATGGATGTTGAGTAATTCGTAAGTAAAAGCTGTCGAATAATAACGAATATCTATTTCGAAATGAAGGAAATATAAGCTATATAAGAATACTTGATGAAAATATTATGTATAAATTTACAGGATGTATTGCGAAAATATATATGTATTCGTTTTTCATCATTCGAGTTGATTTGTAATTTACTCTCGATAAGAACATTATTTTCAAGATCTCATAACGGGCTGGATTATGATTCAATTTTCTGATTTTAGTGAAGCCAATCAAGTTTTCAGAAAAATCCAAACAATTCGACTTTTTCAATGAATTTAAATCTATTTGACACATTTTAGGTAGCAAAACAGATGCATTTAAAACGAATCAGTCTTCTTATCTGTATTGTGTCTTATTACAGAGCTTGAGCTGTGAACGTATATATTCTGATACTTAAAATTTTATGTTCTTATAAATATTTTTTTACAAAATATAAACATATCCATAACGGGTTGTACTCCTCACTTTATTCTGGGACTCGAAGTACAAGGAAGAACCCTAGAAAATACTCTTATTTATACACAAAAAGTTATTTCTTCAAACATAGACAATATGCGGTCTATCCCTGTGTTCATTTAACTGCTCGTATATATTCATCGAAGGTGTAGCGTAAGTATCCCAAGATGGCAGAGAACGATACTCATTGTGGATCATCATAGGTGGGGGTAAAATATATTTTTCGACTTGGGCGGTCTCATACGTGTCGTAAGCTTCAGTTTTTCTATGAATAGTTGGCTGAGGCAAACTCCTCCTTATGGTCTCCTCTACTGAGAGTTCTTTTTTGGTGCTCTTCGATTGACGTTTTGGTGCCCAATAGACTACTCCTCCAATAACTACCAGTATAAAGACGACTGTTACAGCTACTGAAACAGCAGCCATCCAACCTACTGAGCAATCCATTTGGTGTCTAGAAGCACTTGATAATAGCGCTTCCTTGAGATCCTCAGGCCCTTCACAAGTAATATCGCTGTCATCAATAGCCAAGTCGAACGATGGGAGCTTCTCTTTCTTAGGTCCTGAGATGGTAGCATTGATTCTTGACGATTTTGATTTGTACTCTTGGATGAGTTGCCACAGCCAGCCGAGCGAGCAGTTGCATTGCAGCGGATTGCCTCCGACTCTCAGTTCGTGTAACTGATCTAATGGGAAGTGAGTAGCCTCTAGAGTTCGGAGGTTGTTAGCCCTCACAGAGATGTGTTTGACTTTCGGGTTCCCGTGGAAAAGTCTCGTAGGCAACTTAGTCATTCCTATGTTATAGTCCATATTCACTGCTTCAAGATTAATGTTATCTACGAAAGCCCTAACATCGATTATAGCCAAGGTTTCTAGGCGGTCTATTCTTAGTATCCTCAGATGGAACAAGCCTTTGAACGCTACCGGAGGTATGCTGCTAATGAAATTGCCACTGAGTTTGAGGGAAGTTAGTGTGGAAAGTTTAGCTAGGGATGAGGTGGGCATGGCTGTCAAGTTGTTGTCGCTTACGTCTAGGTGTTCCAGAGTAATCAGGTTTGACAGCCCCGCTGGATGGATATCTGTGAGGACGTTGTTGTCGAGCAGTAAGATACGAAGCTCGGATAAGTTTGGCATATCCCCTTCTTCTACGGTCAGAATGTAATTTCGTGACAAGGAGAGATAGTGTAGGCGAGTGGTATCAGCAAGGGCAGCAGTTGGTACTTCAAGAAATTGGTTGTCGTTCAGATAGAGCTCTTTTAGGTGTTTTCCTGTGTGGAATAAACCTTCCTCGAGATGAATCAGCCGATTTCCACTGAGCCGCAGCACAGACAGGGAATGTAGATCTCGGAATGCAGCCGACTGTAGTTCTTCCAAACTGTTATTACTGAGATCCAAATGCGTTAACGCTTTCAGTCCTTTCAGGGAATCCTTGCTGAGGTTCTCTATTTGATTAGCGCTCAAGTCCAATCGTGTCAGGTTCCTTTGCGAATTGAAATTGGAGTTTCCCAATGTCTTAATCCTATTGTTCGACAAGTTGAGTGCGACGAGCTTCTCGTAGAAAGGGAACGAGAAGTGGAGCTGGACGATTCTGTTATTCGAGAGGTCTAGTTCGTGCAATTCGGGGTTCAGCTGGATGGGAACGAATTCCAGGGAGGCGGATGAGCACGTGGTCTTAAGAACGTCGTTCTCGCAGCGGCAGGCGGCGGGACAGATGGCACCGTAGCTGTGGGAATCAGCCATCGCCAAAACCAGCATGGTCAGTATGGCTCGCCAACACATCAAGTGGATTTTATCCTCCTCCATGGCAAGATTGCCGCATCGTCATGACACGCCTGGAACAAAGAATCACAGTTAGAATGAAATTCGCTTATATCATGTCATATAAAGGGATTGACCATTGAGCATTGAGTATTTTGGGCAAATATACCGATGAACATGTGATGATATTCCAAATATTCTTCAAACAGTGAATTGGGCATGTCTGAAGGGTTTTAATTGAAATAAAAAGGCGTCGACTTTAAAGAAATCACAGGAATTTTTGCAAGTAAACATCAAACCTCCATATGCAAAAAAATCACCTCATTCCAAATTAACAGAATTGCCTCAATTTCTTTAATTTCCAGCTTCGGATAAAGAGTGAATCAGATTAACTGCAAATTTTGAGCTTGAGAATCGTGAATTCCTATAAAGTATTAACCAAACCAAATTTCCAATTGACATCTTCGAAACTGAAGATATTTCAATTATTAGTGACTTACTGATCGAGATCGGACTGTTAATATACATTGTTTTAATTGAAATGATGCGAGATCTATCACCCATTTCAGTTTGTACCTCAAAACCTGAATCACCTTGTATAAGACTTCTTATGTACCTAATTATTTGGAATTATCCTTTGATGAATAAATAAATTATATTCATTCTATGGAATCATACCTATATTAAAAAAATGAAGATGCTCAACTCGAGAAAAAGGCTTCAACATTTACTATTCTTATGCTGATACCAAACGGGCTAAGTTGTTTTCTATTCACTGGAATCTATTCATAACGATTCGTTCGAAGAAGAGAGCCTCCTTCATATATGTAATTTCGATTAGTGCCATTCTGTATGTGTCTTCAAATTTTGCAGGTGCTACTAAAGGCAATATAAAATTCTCACATAAAACTTGAGACATGCTAACGGATCTGTGCCGTACTCGTTTTATTACAACAAACAGTATATTACTTTCGGAATAGCTTGTATAGCTTCATCTCGAAGTACAATTTGCCTGCAGTGAACCTATAATGCTCAATGCTTAGTACTCATACACTCGATGTTGGCATATCAGGAATCTAGAAAACGTAGAACGTAGGCAAATACAATGAAACTTACTAATAACAGCTTCTGAATTCAAGTGAGTATACTGATGAAACATATGATCGAATATCACAACGGTATTCAAATTTCAAATTCTCTCATGGGATTGTGAATATCAGTAAGTACCTCATTTCAATCATAATTGTATTATGGTGAAAGCCCTTTATCGCATTCACCAAATTTTGAACTGGCCACCAAATTAGGAGAATCTCATGGCATTTTCAGCGTTCAAAACTACAAATTCCGTAAGTCATACAGATTTGAAATGATGAAAGATCCGATTCAGATTATATAATATTTATCAATTATGATTCCAGAATTGAAAAAAAGAAAATTGTGATTTTGTAGCGTCAGACAGGCTGGTGGAATTAACTATGTCCGCACTCAGTACGTCTCATATATATTCTTACTATAGATATTGAAATGAACATATACCGATCGGATAGATTTCGAATATCATGAAGCATTTCTAGAAATCGTGATATTTTTTCAGTGCCATATTCAATTCATTATAAATTTTTGAATCCGATTCCGCTTGTTTACTTGAACAACTACGTGGGACAAGGCAGCCATCTTGACATACTCGATCCGAATCGGTATCGGTGTTTGTGTCAAATTATTTTTCTATTTTGCGTCTTTAATGAAGTCATTATGACACCCAAATGCGTATCGAAGCAGCTTCTATTAGACACGCTGAATATCTTGTTTCAAAGTTGGTAATGGTAACGTCAACGTCAAACTGTCAGGCACACTAGCGTCTAGATACCGAACGAATCAAATAACTATAACATTACTGGTATCTTGAACATTTATTACTCATCAAATCAGCTTGTCAGTTTTGTTGGGCTGCTGTTGAGACAAAATCATGGCTGATTATTCAAGTTGTTGTTTGTGCAATGCGAGGTAGAGGCATCAGAATGTGTTGTGGAAGTTGAAGGCTGAGAGGGAAACATTTGAGATACCTACCTCAATTTTTCTCTTCACAGAAGCTTATAATATGCAACCTTCAGCAACTGCTGAGAATTTCAACGCCTCTTTTTGCCAAATGGGACACACTAGAACGCCGAAAACAATATCCTGTAAAAATCTCTCGATTTGGTAATTTAAGATATTCTGCAGGATTCTTGGCAGGAAGGGTGCAACTTGAGTTTGCCTCTTCAGTCATTCTCAAAATAGAAAAATTCTGAATTTTGATAAATCAACAATTTAAAATTATAGTAGGTATGCATACCTTTGGTGGCGTGTTTCTTCGCTAACAGTTCCTGAGAATATAAATTTTCATGACTAGCTTGATGCTCTGATAATGTTTTCATGTAAACGAGGAATTTTTGCCAATAAATGAGCTGCAGCCACTTTTTTTCAAAAATGCCTATACATTTTTCGAAAATCACCTTGCTACTCTGAGAAGAAGATATGAAGTTTTCGCCATATATCATGAACATTTATCCTCAGACAACGACAATCAGTTTTCATTCATCTCGTTTGAAAATAGGACACTTCTCACTTTCCCTTCAATAGTGTCCAATTTGGCCCACCCTGTAAGTATACGTGATATTTTTATGGAAGGTATTCATTGCTATTGATATTTTCTAAATATAGGTAGGTATAGTAGCCTATTTCTAATACTGTACAATTTTTTTACCATTTTTCACCCAACTCTCATTCAATCTACATCGAAAGTACAACCGAACTTATATAGGAGCTTTTATATATTAGGATTTTTTCCATCTATTGTTACCATCAGGCATTTGTTTTTGTTTCTCCTATGTTATTGACAAAAATATCCAGTAGAAAATATATTCCGCGGAAATTTACTCATGAAATTTCCCGAAAGACGATAGATCACCCTTATGACGTAATGTATGTACTCATATTTCATCAAGTGATACATACAGTGTTTTGAAGTTTGACTAAAACAGATTACCTCTTTATATGCTACATAACTAATTAATTAGAAGGTTGCTCCAAGTCACTAGTCTAACGAAACTCGTCAGGACCCAGTCATGAAGACAACCGTCGAGAGTCATTTGTCACTGTGTGATCCCGGAACAATTCACAACTTTGATGATAATATAATTTATCAAGTCGAGTAACAGATCACTCATGTGAAAGCTAAAATATATTCATCAGAGGACGGAGGTGAAACATTGATTTTCCTTGATATTCTTCTGAAGAAGAAGCTTTGATGGTGGAAAATTCAGAATCCGATCGTGATACCTACCAAGCTGATTACATTAGTTGCGTTTTATTTGTTCCATTCTAGTAACGGTGGTGGGAACAGAATGACGTTTACAAATGAAACGAGAAACTTCAGAATGAATTGACATATTATAGATGATAGAGGTTATATTTATATATTGGGGCTCCGAATCATTTCAAGATCTTAATATCAGAGTCGAAAATCAATACAACGCATATTTGAAGCAGTGATTTTTTGATTGGAGCAAGTTTTTTGAGATCGAGATGATTCATTTCATCTGTTAATCAAGATATGAAGCCCGTCTTAGATGATAGAATCATAAACTTGTAGATCTCACGTTGAAATGTATTCTAATTGTATTCTACTTCCGAAAAGTTTCGTTTTTCGTCCATTTTCTGACAACTGCCAACAGTCATGAGCTCATGATCAGCCCGATAGGACAGATAGTTTTCGAGTTATCGGCGCTCAAAGTCAGCTTTCCGCTTTTATTGCCAATAGGAGCACTCCGGTAGGCTACTACGTCTCGATTTCCCAAAATTTCCCGATTTCTACCACAGATTCGTTCATTACGACATCGAATTAGTCTATGTGGATTCTATCAGATTTTTTATAGGCCAAATAAATATTTTAATTTTCCCACCTAAGACTTCCGTACGATATGGTCACCGAGCCATCTTCGGAGGGCAGAAAGTGACAGAAAACGACGGAAATCCTCGAGAATTATCGCTTTTCCAGTAGAAAATGACACGCTGAATTGAATGAGACTATGATCAGCCCGATAGGACAGATAGTTTTTGAGATATCGGCGCTCAAAGTCAGCTCTTCGCTTTTATTTCCAATAGGAGCTCTCCGGTAGGCTACTACGTCTCCATTTTCCTAAATTTCCCAAATTCCACCAAAGATTCGTTCATTACGACATCGAATTAGTCTATGTGAATTTTTTCAGATTTTTAATAGGCCAAATAAAAATTTTCATTTTCTTGCCTAAGACTTCCGTGCGATTTAGTCACCGCGAGCCATCTTCGGACGGCCGAAAGTGCCAGAAAACGGCGGAAATCCACGAGAATCATCGCTTTTTCAGTAGAAATTGACACACTGAATCGAATGAGATAATGATCTGCCCGATAAAACAGATAGTTTTCGAGATATCTGCGCTCAAAGTCAGCTTTTCGCTTTTATTGCCAATAGGAGCACTCCGGTAGGCTACTACGTCTCCATTTTCCAAAATTTCCCATTTTCCATCACAGATTCGTTCATACCGACATCGAATCAGTCTACGTGAATTTTCTCAGATTTTCAATAATATGCAAAATTGAAAGTGACTAAAAAAATGGAATAGTTGTTAAACGTTTTGAAAATTTCGATTTCATATAAATATAACATATATTATACAACATTCAAACCGGAAGAATTTCTAGTAAAACCAAAAATATACGTATAGTGAGGACAAATCAGATGATTTGCCCCAAAATGTCACTGCGTTCAAAACATTCCTCTCCTACCATTTACCTTCACCATATCTCATTTTGATACACTTAATAGTGATGACATGTCTTATTATTATTATTATTATTACATTATAGACGTCGCTAAAATAAAAACTGTATGGCAAGAACTTCAAGTGTTGAAAAGGAATATTCTCAGATGAATTATGAACATACAAAAATGGATATATATTTATATAAAGCAATACATTGAGAATTCGCATTCTCTATGTGATGAGAATATTTACTCTTTTTCAGTT